CTTATGGGATCAATGGCGTGGATGTTCTGAGAACCGGTTGTTATAGAGATAGCAACAGATGTAATCGTATCTGGCAGTATGCGCAAGTGTGTGTTTGGCTGCCAGAACTGAGCCAAACAAGGACATTTGAATAACACCATACAGAAGTTTGTTTCTACTCGCTGTTGCAGTTTTGTTGAGCTGGGTTTTTGTGAAGGTCACTTATCGTATGGAGGTCATTGATTGATCTTACGTTATAACATAATTAAATAAAAAATATTGTTTAATATTGCACAAGAACGACAACAGCATCGTGTTTTGGCAGCCGTATTGAAAACACAATGAATCAGTGAGCCTTGATTGTCATCCAAATTGACTCGATATGCTTGATATACTTGCGAGAAAGGCTGACAGATGTGAAAAAACACAAGGCATACAAAAGCAATCAATAAATACTTGTGCACAAATGCATCCACATGATAAATTAGATTTCATTGGAAGCAGTTGCAGTTATTATTTGTGTTATTTGACAATCGCATCACCATAGATGTCCTCTTGTGAGTCATGATAGTAATATGATGAATGTATCATGTTACAAACCTTCACAGCGGAATGTGGACAGTTTAATAATATAATTACCCGATTATCGTTTATTTGATATAAAGACGTCTGAAGAACTCACAACTAACACTAGAAAGAATGGACTTGTATATGTTACAGGCAAAGTATACAATGACGATTTACAAAAAGCCAAAATGTTTCCGTCAGTTTACGATTAGTTTTCCGTCAGATTGATTAAAAGTCGTTTAAAATAGCTTACAAACGTCACCAGAGGCTAATAATGCTAGGAATAGAAGCAAAAAGTAAAAGTATACATTGACGTTCGTTTTCTTTTCTTCTTATCATTTTCCGTCACTGGGTGATCAATCCGTTATCATAATATAATAAGTGGAAAAATAATAATAAAATTACTTCAATATTTTTGGCGTCTTGTAAATTGCTTCAGTGAAAATTTCAGTCATTTTACACATTGACTGTAGCATATACAACACTAGTATATGATCCTGAAACAAAGGTTTAACTAGAAGACGTCATGCGGCCAGAGCGTAGGGGTAATGAACAAATGTCCGCTAGTAATGTACATATTGTATACGTGTCAGTGTTGTGGAAGAGGAGTATTTATTTCCTTGTAATGACGCCGTTACTAGTAGATGGTACGGCATATATGTTATGTTATCTCAAACACAAAACCAAACGCTGTCAGCAAGTTATTGATGAGGTTGTAGCTGTTCGTGGTCTGGCCTCATCCTTACCTACACGTTTTAGTCAAAGTGTATCGGCGATATTTCAACTTGTCCCAATTTGTCATTGAGACATCCATCCCAGTGGACAAGATGTAATCACTTTTGTCACGAATAGAACATGATTTGTTAAGAACGAGTTTCATATCGATCTTTCGGGAGAATCCATCCTGATAGAATCACAGTTGAACAACTAGAAAATATCGCAATTGATTCCCGCAAGCCCTGCACGCTCAATGCTAATATGAGAATATGTATTTAACTCATGTAAAAATGTACAGGACAGTACCTATCTATCTGAACAAAAACGTGGGGAATAAAAAGATTTAAATGGTTCTTTATATTTCATACTTGAAATAAATAATGATTTGAAATTGTACTTGTAAAAAGTACTTGAGCTCACAGAACTATTCAAGTGTTTGGTTACATCATTACTGTGTAAAAGTACTTATGACCATACTTGTTTTAATACTTGCAATATGAAAATGATAACTGGTGACATGTGACTGTTTGGGTCTAGATAAGTAGAAAGTCAACATCATTAGAAAAGTGTTCTGCTCTGTCGTGTAATGCAAACACTTTTTAGTGTCTGAAACTGTAAATAGCTGAAAGTTTATTGTTTGTGCAGCAATAAGAATCATAGCATTAGATAAATATTAATCTTCTTACACGGTAACAGGAGTTGAGAGTTGACAGTTTGTGTAACGTGATATGAACTGTTGGTTATTGGAGGAATGTTACGTCGGAATGAAAACAAATTTAAAAACAGTATTTCGGATTAAAACTTCTTTTCAGTTTTCATCAAGCTCGGGGACTTTCGTACCCCTGAGGCGTGTAACGTTACACATTATATACTACTAGTTTGTCTGGTCCAGACGCGAGTATTCATAGGCTTCCTTGATATACTGATACTGTCAGTATCAAGTTTTGACTAAAAGACCATCCAACCACTCTCCATCATTATCAATATTTGCATATTAATTTGTTATATCTTATCTGGTCGTAGACAGTGTCAGTTGGAACAAAACGTTGACAGGTTTACGAATTTGTTACTTTGACAGAAGTCAATGTATATTGGACCAATGTTTTTCGATAGGGCGCCGACACGCCAATTCATAACCAACAAATGATAACAAGGTCAAAGGTTACATCACAATTTGTTATCCTGATTACTGAATTACAAGTTTATCTTTGAACGATATGTACAGACGAACTTCGTTGTCTCGAAATTTAGGAACCAGAACTCAAACTCCATTTATCCAGGGTACGACACACCCGACTTATTTCTTACCTAATCCAGCCATCAGACAACTGATCAGGCATCAGCAAACGTACCACATCTTGAATATCATGTACATAACATGTACATGATAGAACAAATAACAAAAGCATTTGTCATGTTCGACTTTGTTATTTGACAATTATTTGTTGACTGTTCATAAGTAATAGGTAACAACTTTTTAAGCCGATTGATAATTGATAAAAAATACCTTGTAACTAAAAACTGAGGCATTTGCTTTTTCAAGTATATTTTTATAGCTGAAATGATTCATAGTTTGTGTAGGTTAACCATGTAACACAACCAAAAACAACCTTGAGGAAGTATGTTTTAGTGCATATGTTTTTTTGAGGTTTCCCAATCTTCATATCAGTTATCATTATAGCTTAGGCAGCAACATATACATTCCATCAGTTTTTTCACATTTTATATCTGCGTGTAGGATCGGTTTTCCATATTGAATATTGTGTACAGGCTTACAGCATCATTAAAGATAGGGTGTGTCGTTCTCATCACCCAGTGTAACGTCATTACGCATTGGAGATCAGCTCTAATCATCGCCATATTACGTCAACAAATTGCATTGATAAAGGTTGTTAGAAACCATTAGTGCACTTGTTCGTTGTTTCATTGTTTTTATTATCCTGCTTATCTTGAACTAATTAGATAACTAATACTACTAATTTCCTTTCTGAATACATGAGTTTCCTTTATTTGACATTTATTCAACGTTAACGAAATGTAAGTCATCTTGTCACCAGACGGAAGTAATTAAGTCACAATTATCCACCACTGATTAGGCGAACACGTACATACTGTTTTAGGACCTCCGTGTACAAGCTTATTCGAAAATACAGATAATGTAACAGTATGATAATCTGGTGTTTCATAGATGATATGTTACAGGCAAATCAGCAACATACTTATTTCACAATAAACTCACGATACTTGTATATTTACAGTACTTTTGATCAAAATGTTGATGCCGCGTTAAACAACATGGTGGAACACCAGCTTACGCGGATCAGAATACCTGGTAGGATGTTATAGCATAATTCTCCGATAACTTTGGAAAAAATTCATTAACGTGTGGGCAATCAGAGCTTTCACATCACAATAACCCTATTGACTGAAACAGCTGATTTGATGGCCGCAACGCCGCGGCACAATAACGTATAACTATTTCTCAGTTATTGTAGGATGGTATTGTGAGTGAGTGAGTGAGTGAGTGAGGTTTTACGCCGCTTTTAGCAATATTCCAGCAATATCACGGCGGGGGACACCAGAAATGGGGATGGTATTGTGAGATACATAAGGCATTTGTTTGCGAATTAACTGCGCTACACAATTCTAATGCCTCTCACATTGGCGAGCAATTAAAAATTATATTGATGTAAAAAACATTGAGTTAACATGGTGACGTATTTTGTTTAAAGATTTATCTGTGTTTCCCTTAATCAAATCGATCACCTACATCCAAAATACTTAAGTCATCCAATGTCGACTCACTCATTATCTATCCCAACAACACAAAATGCGAAATAAACTATATGCTAGACATTGTTGATAAACATGCATGTATGTTTTTCAGTATAGATTTATGGTACCTAAGATTTGACTAAGTAATAACAATAAAGGACATTTCACTTAGTGTTACAGAAGTTAGGTACACCTGACACACTATATTCACATGATGCCATGGCAATGAAGATATAGTCCTTTAAATGTCTTACGCAATCTGAACAGTACATGTCATTTATTCTGTTGACCCAAGTTACATAAGTAGTAATGTTTCGATTTTTACAGCAGCTTTCCACAAATGTGGGATGTCTCATATTTTTCACCTTTAGTTTGGTTTTGTCAACAAAAAACACACCTATAATCATGTAAGTTACACTGAGGTAAATTCATTCCAGAAAGTGCAGGTCTGGCTATTCATACAATCATTTAATTGAAGATGCAAAGGACCTAGTGTTATTTTATCCTTACGCGATTTACGTGACTTATTGATGAAATTTGTCAACCTGGTCGTACATGTTTTGTTTGTACAGGATGAGGTAAAACAAATCACATGAACAGATATATTGTAGTAATATTATATATATTCATTCAAGTACAAATCGAACGGAGTACATAACGTCAAAGTAGTTCTCTTTAACTATCTGTCTATACGCTTTATTGTTTGAAAATAACAAGACCCTCATAAAACTATTGTATTTCTACCGGGCACTCCACATGCGTAATCCATTGTCAAACGATATTTTGGAAATATATAATCGGATGAGTGGAAATGAAACCTAAACTTCGAACAAAAACGTCGATGAGCTTTGGGAATTAACGCAATTTCATCACAGGAAACATATCGATTATTTAAGCTTTTCATTTGCAAATACCATTGAAACAAGATGACTAGTTTCATCTGCGTAAACCAGATGATGTATTGCAATCTGCCCGCGGGCACTCCAGTTTGTTCTCCGATGGAAGTTTCAAAATTAAGCAGTTATGTTTTCCATTGATTTCACATTTGTTACGTTAATTGCCTGGAGCAATTGTTTCATACTTCATGAGTTTAAAATATCTTCTGCGTGTTGAAAAGGCTATCACATGCATGATCGATCTAAAGTAAAAGAGATCGAAATTAATCCCTTGTTTATTGCTCAGTGTATTGCAAGCTCCTGTTGCCCTTGTCGATTTCACATCCCATTTTATCTCTCCCAGCTGGTGACTCTGTGCATTGGCTTGGCAATAATGATTATGCCCACCCTCAGGTGTCTGCACACATCACAAACGCTCGAGGAGTAATAAACATAGCTGTATTTCACCCTACCGATTTTGCTAATGACCTGGCCATGTCCTCATACCGGATGTAGATAATTCCTGGTCCGACCAAGCCATAGATTGTGGGTGCTGTAAATAATTGGCAAATATGTTCATGTATGAACTATTAATGTCGCTTTTAATTAGAACCTCGCGTGGTGGTTAGTGCTGGGTACAGACAGGGGAATGCGTTAGTATTTCAGAATAAATTGTCAGGTGTTATGATGTGTTAATATTTCAAAAGCCTAGACAGCATGTATAATAAAACGCTTAAAACAACATTATGACATTATGGGCTTTTAGTATAATCTAATTAGTAGCGTCAGTTCACCTAAATGTTTGATAATGAACGTACATGTAGTAATATACAGACACACAATAACTAATATTTAAAGTGTTACAGTTTGCCAAGAACAAATACGGTATCCACAGAACCTAAATCCTTCTTCCATTAAATATAAGTAGAATAATGAACGTCATTTTGATTGTAGAAAGCTGACATCAAGTGTCGGATTGCATTAGTCCGGCTTCCGGCAAGCCATCATGTGTCATTGCCTCCAAATGAATCCTCTGAGGCGTTGAATCACAAACCGATGACTCTCCTTCACAGAGATGTTTTATCCTATCCCAACCACCTTTAAGCATCTCCGTATTCCGCCGCCGAAAACTACTTGAAAAGAACATGTACACAAAGCCCTTAACTGAAAAATTTAATATATAAAATTCATAAAATATTTGGTTCCATTTGCCCAATTCCTGATTCTGTAGACCGGTCAGAGTTATTAATGCCCGGAGTATCATCACTGGCATGTTGCTCATCATGGTAACGATTATTACTGGAAATAGGATCCGTGTAACATGAACTGATGTCGGTGTGTCTGTATTAGAATTTCCGTTTTGACGGGGCCAAAGATCAACAGCAGCGGATATCCGGTAATATTCACAACCACGGATGACAATTAGTGACGTAAGAAGAAGAATGATGCCATAAGGAATAACTGCCACAACAAATGTGTCAATTTTGCTCAGATTCTCAAAGTGAACGCGAAGTTCTTTCCAGGGTATACACTGTAAAATGCCCTGCACCTTTTCAGGTCCAAAGAAATATCCAATATATGAATAGCACGCAACCGCAACAGCGGCCATAAACCACATCACAAGTTTTGCTCGGAATGGCGTACACATGGAACCCTTCTTCAGCGGCCAGTACACTCCGATGAACTTTTCTATGACCATGGCTGCAAGATACCATATCGACAGGAATGTAAAGACGTAATTTAGAAACATCATAAACTGGCAGATCCCTGCGTGTACGATGAGAGATATGTTATGGTATCTGTACAGTGGGTTGAAGATGAACGTCCACAGAAACCCCGTGTCACTTACAGCTATTGCAGCAAGGTACTGAATAGACGATACCTTTTTGAATCTAGTACGAGTGAACGTGAAATACGACAATGCGTTGCCTATGGAACCAACTGTAAGCACAACGGGGTAGCCATACAGATGGTACTGCATAAGAATCTCAAACATCAGTTCCAATGTTTGTGGTGATTTTGTTCTTGGCAGTGTTGTTTTGTTGAAAGGGGTGTATTCTTTTAAGGTTTCATTTGCACCGACATGGGCATAATTTGACAGAGTTGTATGACTGATGTATACAGATGTCATCTTGCCGGCTTCAAACTCGGGTCACTTTCACACGGGCACGTAGAATTCTTTTGCTTGGCAGATGATCTGAAAAATAGAACATGCGAGTTGGTATCTTTTGCATACAATATCCTATTGATATAACGAAACCTTTTAAGAAATAATTAAAAGAAACGTTGACCTGCGTAATTCTGTATTGCGATTTTGTATCGGAATAAATCACTTTCAACAGTGGAAAGTTGTTCCCTTTTAGTAAGAACAATATGTATGCCGTTGAATCCAACCCCAATATACAGTCTAAACTCTACAGAAGACACACGCAACGTTCACAATGAAAAACGGTCATGAGGACACATCTACAAACATAATCCAATCACAGGAATATTGGTGGAATCCAATTACGCAGAAGGCATAATTGTGGTATCTCGATTGCTACATTAACACAGAAAATAGATAAGATTAATACAATGACTACAGCTACATCCCGACCTTCCTAATTGTTACACATTTTCCAGAAAGGTCCGGCATGCAATGTTGTCTTAATATCCGTTTCTCCTTAATTATGTAGTGTCAATTTTCCTGTCCACAAATAACGTCCGATCCATTATACAACTTGGCGCACGAAGGTCGTGGACCACTTTCCTCTCAATAAGCGCAATTATCGTGTGAAAAATCTGTATTAGATCAGCGTGTTCAGACTACAAGTCGCTTAGTTAAAGAATAGATTGCAGTCCCTGTCGTCAGACACAGGAACACAGATATATAATGACGAGTTAGTCATCAAGTACTTCTACTCCTGTCTAATACAGAGAAGCTTTAAGTTATAAATCGGGTTAATAAACGTTGTAAATGTATCATCATTTTTTTCTTTCTGAAGACGGTGCACATGAACGTTTTCTAAATTAACCATAGAATATATTCGCAGGAAAAAGTTAAGAATCCCTCACATGAAAGCATCCGTGATCAGTTATATGTTTTATCATGTACAGCTTTTTCAACCTGGGTACCATTTAGAACATGAACGATGTTGATTAATATATAAGTATGTAAATCGATGATCATGATGAGGTAAGATTTGGAACTACGTCGGTCCATGTTGCGAAGATACAGATGGCGGTGCTCAAAATATAATAACAGTTAAGAAGAAAAACAATGTCATAAAAAAGGAAGTCCGTATACTTAAAGTACCCCGCAGGGAAAATTCAAAGAATTGATTTGCTTTAAAGAGTCTCAGAGTATCATATGCTCTGTTAGAAACCCTGACAACAGGGACTATAGAATGAGTCTACCATATGTCATAGCACGAACAGTATGGTTTAGTTCATAGTTCATAACCGTTAATACCTACCGCCATGTAGTGTGTGCATGGTGGTTCTGAGAGTTTCGAGCCTTTTCTGAGGTGCATGAATGTTTGATGAGTTATGGTTTCAGGCCTTTCCTACGATATATACATGGTGATTATATAGGTGTCTCAAGCCTGCATCCAGAGTTATATCATGCCTTCCCTGAGGTACATCTAAAGCTTGGTGAAAGAGAATATTGCTGAGTGGCGTATTTGAATGCTGCCAATGTGCCCATATTGCTAGTTAAACGATCGGGCCGAAACAAGTATTGTGCTTCGCGGTTGTACGGAACTATGACATATTGTCAATGCGTGATAGCTCTTGAAATGTGTAGATCATGAGTTCAGCATTCAGTCTTTGACGTAAGTCTCCCACATCATCGAATTCATTATCTCGTGACAAAGTCACGATACCCCAGGGCCGCAATTTACTATTTTTATTCAGATTATGGACAATAATCATATAGATGCTCAACAATAATTACTCAATGTAAGAAGCTAATTATCACAAAAAGATAAACAACCTATATTACTCAGTGTTAATAAAGTAAAATATAATCAATGATCTACTGCAACAAATGTAAGAACAACACCATGTAGCACCTCTTGTAGGTTTGATATGGCCTTGAAATATTGAGTCGTGTCCCAAGAACGCTTTCTTGGCTGCGAGATATTAAACTTACAGCGTTATCTTTTTATCCAACATTTCGATGAGACTGTTTCGAAAGACTGGTTGAAATCAAACCAACTGGTTACAGTTTTCAGTATAACATATGAAATCCAAATTACCTGCTTATGAAAAGTGTAAAGGGTTACCTGCCCTTGTCATTCGGACGTATTCGTTGGGTTATCAAAAGACAGGATCGTTTTTAGGCTAGAAGCTGTCTCGACATTAACAATTGATCTTTGCGGCATTAAATATTTATAATGTGCGGTCACTGCAGGCTAGGCATAAGATATTACCTTTGTCTCATCACGTTGTGATCTAGGTATCATATACCCCCTTGCCAGGCTGTCCAGACATAAACGTAGCATATACGCCAAAGTGTTCACCATCAACTGTCTACACCGACGCCGCCTAGCCACAGTGATCAAACATCGCAACAGTATTCAATCATACCTGTCCACCAAAGTTCGCGTATGTTCCTAAGTCAACACGCTTGGTTAGGAAACACGACATGTGTTTATCGATGTTTGGTTCCTATCTCCGACATCACCAGAATGGAGCTCAATTTAATAACGCGCTTCTGAAACCATTACTAATTTGTTCCTGTTACCTGACCAGAAAATATATATTATGTGTTCATTTTTCACATTTAAAAGCTTATCTCAAATCGAAACTTCGTCCTTATGAAATGTATTTGAACATTGCTTTACTGAAATCTTTGTTTATAATACCCGCGAAGATCCTTATTCGAATAGGTCATCAACAAAATATTCTTGCCGTAAAGGCGACTAGATCTATGTTCATGATGTCAATCACTGGTTTTTCTACTCCAGTCTTGATTATTTACAGACCGCCGTCATTAAGCTGGAATATTGATGATTTGGCGTTAAACAACAAACAACAACTTTGTTGATAAACATCTCTATCAAACAGCTATTTCTCCTTTTCATAACAAAACTCTTCAAAACTACTTTGAAAAAGACTAACCTTGTGTCAAATCAATGTCGGCTCCCCGCACTGAAACCTCACATCCGTTTCCTCGTCGAGTTCCATCCACAATGTACATACGCGTTAATCATTAGATTGCTACCGAAATAGAACTACGGTTCGTATATCGACCAATTGCAGTATCGATTACCATGATCGCGACTCGATCCTTGTTACCATAATGTAATTGCATTAACAGTCTGTGGATTGGAACGCTTGTCTTTAAAGGAGGAACATAGAGACTCAAGTTATATCTGACTGTTGTCTGTGTAATTGTGTTTGTTGTTTAACGTCACACCCGGGAACATTAATCCAGAAGTATAATTGCTTGTTTGTATCAATCATGTATGTAACTATATAGATATATACAATGTAGTACCATCTCGCTTGTAAAACTAATATGAGATATAATTGGTATATGATTATTATTAATATATAACTATTATGATGCTATCAATTCGAAAAGAAAGCATAGTGATTAAAACATTCACCCCAAATGCCGAAGGCCCGGGTTTGATTCCCATCATGAATACAACGTTTGGAGCCTATTTATGACTGGCGTCATCAACTGTATTTGGCCATATATCATACGATTAATGATATATACAGGGTTGTTAGCGCTTCAACAGTTATATAGTAATTATAGGGGCATATCTAATTTTCAATGTAGCGCAAGACCTTTTGTGTGTCATTATGTGTTGCTATTATTATTATATTTTGTTCGGGACGGATACATAAGAACATAACAATTATGAACGAGAAGTTATCTGCTTTCTGTAGTTGTGTGGAAGGAAAACAAAAAGAAGAAATAATGATTTTCAGCTGCATCACGATTATATTTGCTGCATTTCGGAATGGCTGTTGAAAGGTCAGTTGGTGACTCACATATCGTAATTTATATAATATGCGGACGACATGTAGATGTTGTAAGACAACTCAAAGAGGAAGTATTTTCTCATTTAAACATTTATTGTTTTTTATATGTACAAAAATAGTTACAAATGACAAAGTCACAATGCTATCATGACAGTTTTGAAATCGTATATCTCTTCATCTTTGCTGAAAACATTGCTCAACATGAGAAATTTTCCCGCAATCCTGTGTGTTCGAAACGCATGAAAATTACATTCTCATTTCATGGCTTTAAAGTACAGGTTTTACTTTTTATTTGGAATCCCGCGTTCACTGTACCACCTACCGTTAACAAAATGGCTTCGAGAACCTGTACATTTCAAGACATAAATAAAATAAGAGACAAGACAAGAATCACACGTCGATTATATGTCACATTACATTTTCGACATGGCAGAAATAGTGCACACACTTATTTATTTACAATACATTTGCGACATTAGCGGAAGTTGAATGTAACGGAGACACTGCCTCCTCCACATTCCATGCCCGATTCGCACAAATTCGCAACATTTGTCGTCTTTACTGGTTCCGCTTGCGATTAAGTTGCATCTCTGCTCTTACTTTCGATGGCAGGCTTCTTCGTTATTATATCAGACACTGTCACTTCTGTTCGTCACTTGACCTCTTGTAGGCTCTAATGAATTCACTCCTGTGTCCTGTAAGCATAATACATGGACGGCTTATTGAAGGAGATACATTTGAACCATAAAGATTGGTACGTTGTTTTTAAAGTGTCGTTAACATGATAATGTACAGAATGTGCAGTTTCATTAAATGCAGTTTAAACAGATTTCCCTATCAGCCAATTAAAACGTAATCAAACGTACCAGTTTGTTAAGTTTCAATAAATGTTTTAACAGTTAATTCACAATGCTATGACCGTCATCGGTTTTAATTCACATTCTTCTTGTTTTGTGTCAGGAAAATACCCTCCTTGTCGTACACTGTGTGACCTTTGTGGGACCAGTGGTATGCAAAGATGAAGTGTCATGTGCTTGTCTTCATATACTCGCGTGGTTCTGTGCACATTCCGTGGGAATTGTACAGGAATGTTTTGGTGCATCGTTTCAACAAGCCCCAACGTTTCATGCATTGGCGTAACACGGCACATTCTTTTCAAAGGCTATTTTTATTTTTCAAAGATAACTTACAGTATTTTGTCCTTTTACAAGTTAGTACAAACAGTTCTTTTTGGTTTTGGTAGAAAATGTGAACCCTTGAGTTCGGGAAAGCATTTTCCTCGCTCGAGGTTTGACATGTTCAACCAAAACCTGTCTTAACCTGTACATAACTTGTTATGCCATTGACAGCGGATATTCAGCTCATAGATCACCTCTAAACTAAAGGTAGTCTAAACAATGGCGAGAGCAGAATGTTGGTGGTTCGGTCCCATGGCACCCTCCTTCCAAGAGACTTAAGTCGATGGTATTTGTTGTTACCCTGCTTGGCGCTCGGGATAAAACAAGGACTGATCAACTCGGAATCAGTATATGTGTCTAAGTGGGGTATCCATGTTCTACTGCGGCATGGTATCTCGTGATCAGTGGAGGCTAACACTATAAAACTGCAGTAAATCTAGCCCAGTACAAACATCCTTGAACGCGACGTTAAATTCAATTCCAATTTCACCCCTCTTCACCTGAACAACAGCTAGATACTGATACTTGAAAGTATTATATCAATACTAATAGCACAATGATTTTGATTAACGTATTTAGTTAATACAGACATGGTAATAAACTAATTACATGTTTTATTTGAAAGCATAAATTCAAAGCTGAAATGTAACAGTATAAAAGATACATTGTTTTAAAATGGGTTTATTTGTTGTTTTACGCTACATTCAGCTATATTATAGCTATACGACGGCAGTCTGTAAATAATCTCATTTGGTCTAGAGAATCCAACGATTGACATCATGATCTTCGATCTACGCAATTAGGGATACGATGACATTCATCAACCCTGACGACCCAATCCTGCTACTCGCCTCTTACATGTACGACAAGAAAGGGTTGCTGGAAACCAATTCCAACGTTTATCGGGATCTGAAATGGTAAAATCTACATATGTTCACAAGCATAAACAGTATATCCATAGTTGTGTTTATTCCTTTAACAACACACAGTCGTTATTCATCTCTTTCTAGTTGGTTATATTACATGGATCCTAACATTTTACTTCTTCGATACAAATATCAATATGTGCTCGAAACATTTAATCCTGGTCTGGTTACGAGATTAACAGTTGAATGTCTTCTGGGTGTAAATGAATGGAAGTAGAAGGTCAAAGATGTCATTCAGATAGAGCGCCACCTTTCATTTCCTGTTCTATTCATCAGTGTCTCCAACTGATACTAGTTTCTCATTATTTCATGGCAAATTGTTACCCAGTCAAATGTCAGGCTAAATTTGCATGGTATAATACTCACATGTCCTATAGAGTTCTGTTATATAATGAGGAAATTGGCGGACATTGCATCTTCTACCATAACTTGGCGTGCACATTTGGTGATATGTTTCGGTGTACCCCTCAACTTTTTTTCGTTTATCGGATCGGAAATATTTTTGAATGCGGCGTTTAACAACATAAACAAAATAAAAATATCGTGTTCACGAGTGTATCTATTTATAGATTTATGGATAACAACTTCTTTATTTTACTGTATTTCGGTATCGATCCTTATACCGTTATGAAACAGGACCACTTTGTCATCCGTTAATTAAAAAAATGCCTACCAAACAATTCGGAATATTTATCATTTGTATATCCTTTTCCCATTCTTAGCATTGTGTCCGAAAAAAAGCACACGTTGGGCACAGATCGCAGGCTGCCGCAATTATACAAGTACAACCGCTAATAGCTAAATCTAATTCTTTGTTTGTCTATCATACGGTCAATAATATTTGTATCTCGTCTTTGAAACCAACCACATATCATGCATCCATAAAGGACCATATCGCTTATGGTCGAACAGAAATCGAAAACGAAGCCTCACCTATTACCGTGTGTCGTATGGTATTTAGATGCTTAAATGTAACGTGCTTGTTCAATCTTAGTCTTTAAACATTTGCAGGTTTTTAATGCCTACACGTCTGACATTTTTAGTGTTTCGTGCTTGACGACAATTAAACAAAATCCAATTTCTTCTTGTCAACACCTTCATGTATTCCATACAGTTCGACGAGTTAATGCCATGCTATAACCAGGCCTCTCCGCATGCTTGAGCTGCACAAAATGCACTCTTTCATTTTGAAACGTTATGTGATGAGCAACAATGCGACGTTATTTTAATATAACGATTTATAATAATTTTGATATTGGTATTTGATATTATAATTTATGAATCTGTGCAGTCGGCAAATTTATAATTATGTCACTTTGTCTCCAGTAACATACAACGTACAGATGCGAAAGCCTTGATATGTGATGTCTTTGACATCTGTTGAATAATCTTACATTAAATATGCCCTTTCGGAACACCTCAAAAGGTTTTGTACGAAAGGTTTAAGGTCTTGCTTGACAACGTTAAAAGGATCTATACCGAAACTTCGCATTTTACAGTTTTAAAGAAGTTGTTATCCATAAAATTGTGTCTACCCTGTCAACCGTCAACTACTAAGTAATACCAATCAAACACTTTACCCAGTGTGTAAGACACTGTGCTGTAATCACATCATCAACCGCGATGGTCTGTTTGATTCCTTATTGGTTGTGTCACAATAACAAGCACCTTGTCAAATCTGTTGATATATATTGTATATTTGTGTATAGTGGTGTGTATGTTGATGTGTCAATGCTGTACTTCTATTGCCGCTTATAGCGGGCTGAGTGTAATAAAGTTCAGTTATCACTACACCTACAGTGTACTTAATTGAATCCTCTCCTGTCAATCACATTGGCTTCGTCGTTATATTGTTATCTTTGTACATTAACCTTATTTAACTGGCTTTGTCAGTATACTGTTATATTTGTAGATTCATCCCACCTATGAAATATTACTCAGCATTTACCTGATGAAGGAGCGAGAAGTATGTCTGAAACGTCGTGACAAAGAATAAGGGAAGTTGCTATCCATAAAAAAATGTCATGTATTCACGTTCACGACAATACTTACTTTGTTTTAAATAGCAAGGGTACAGTGGTTCTA